TAAGTTAACTAAAGACTCGAACTCATAATTTCTACCAAACGACAATGTGTAAGCAACTTACAGACTGACCCTCTAAAAAAATATCCCCAGCGGAGTCGCCAAGCTGTCGTAACCGTTTTTCGAAGGGACAATCATTTAATTGTTTTAAAAATAGTTACGACTTTTAATTTTGGAAAATGGGTGATTTTGGAGTAATTTGAAATAAATTAAAAAGAATTAAAAAGAGTCGCCATCAACCTTTGGGTTGGGTAGGTCGAATACCTAAAAACGTCTTTTAAAAACAATTTTAAGAAAAATCATTTTTTTAAGACAAAAGCTGGTCTGCGTTTACCAAAGATTCGTTTAAAACGAGTTCGGGAGTCGGTTACGCGTGGGGAAGGATTAGCACCCCCACAGCGCCCAAAATTGGTACTGTTTCGCTTACACGTTGTCGTAAATGGTGAAAATCATGAATTAAATATAAAATTAAATTATGATCCATTTATTGAAATTTAATTAATTGCTTCGAACTAGTAATTTAAAGAAATTCTTTTAACTCGATAAATTTTTTTGAAATTTGGTATCCTCCGTGGGAAAGCTATTCAAACTATTTCTCATTCATAAAAAAAATATTTCTCTTTAGTGATAAAATACGAATTAAATATAAATTAAAAATTGACGTTTTGCATAAAAAACAAAAAAACAAATTAATAGAACCACATTGACTCATTCACATAAAAATATTAAAATAATATATGAAAAATTATCATGCAATATGACATCTTTATACAAGAATTATATACATATTTTATAACTACATATTATAACTTATTCATATATATTAATGTGTTATGAATCAATATGACTTAAAAAAAATAAAACATACCACATCAAACTACAAATTTTTAAAAAAACTATACAAATTAAAATATTGATTAAATATCTTTAGTATTTTAAATACAAACCATACAATAATTAAAGTGAAAATTCGAGAATTATACTATAAAATGAAACTGACACAAAACAAAACACCATTGTAAGGAACTAACATCACAATAAACCTTAAATATGCATAGGACTAAAAAACGTGCAGAAAATTAGAGGTTAAATTTCTAAACAACCAAAATTAAATAAACAAACAATTAGGACTAAAATAAAATATACATAAAATGAAGATACCAAATTAAAACATCAAAGACTTGATTTTAAGACTAAAATGAGTTACAAGTAAAACCTAAATGGTTTACATAACAAATAGGCCATGCGTGAAATATATATTTCCCTAACATTCATAAGACGTTATTTTAAAGATTTAATAAACATATTATTTTAAAATGAAATTTGCCCTAATTTTTATTTGTTTCTCCCTCTGTGCCATTTTCCTTCTTCATTTCTCTTCTCCCATCTTTTTCTTATTCTTCGGTATTATCTAATTGAAACCCTTCTCAATCCCGCTCATCTTTCTCGGCCGCTCAAACCCTCCTAAATGTTGGTCGGTTCCTAGCCCAAAAATCAACTCCACTTTCTCTTATACATATCTATGGTTGCCTAATAACAGATCTTAGAAGTAAACTACTTTCCTTTCATTTTTTAGTTTTATTTTCTATTATATTTTTATTATGTTTATTTGCAGATGTTTTGATTCCTCCTTTACCTCTCAAGATTATTCCTTTAGTCTTACAAAGAAAGGATGTGTTCAAAAGAGTTCAACTATTGGCTTCAAAAGGTAAACAATCTAAGTTATCTCTATTTTATTTTAAAGTTTTGAAAGGCGAGAACTAACGCAAATACACGACAGACAAGGTTTCAAACGACAAGAATTGACCTATTCCCGGCGACGTAAACTACCCGACAGTTTTAAAAAAACGATAAGGATTCGAATAAACAAGGTAAGCAAAGAAATCTCTTCTTGACTATTCGTTTTTTTATTATGATTTTTTTATCTCTTACACTCTCAAATAGTGACTAATGGAAACCAACTATTACATTCATTGAATTACAGCAATTAAACTAGCATGCAAACTGTCGTTCATTGGCGACAGTAACCTCACCAAAGTGTGGTAAATTCCCGTGAGGGAACCCGAACATCTTTGGTAAATAAACCCCAAATCCTCTTTATTTTATTATTATTTTTATATCAACCTACTTATTTTACTTATGATCAAACATGTGTTGATTTCTTTGGGTTAATTACTGGAATATGAAAATGGTTATAAACATAAAGAACAGATTGTTCTACTGTTGATTTGGGTTCGAAATAAAAAAACAAATAGAGTAATATATACTGGAAATTGAAAACGAAACTAGGATTACCTCAAAAATACTTTTATTGCTTTCGAATAGATAGATGAATATTTCCCCTGTTTACAGTTCTTTCTTTAAAGAAAAAGAAACCCCCTCTTTTTGTTACCAGTGTTTCGAATAGGATTCCGATCTTTTTTCAATTCCCCTGTTTTTCTTTTTTTTTTCTTATTATTCTCATCTCCCCCCTTTTATTGCGCGTTGTTCTCTGTCCTTTTATGGTTGCAAGTCAATAATTTGGTGATGACTTTGATCGATGAAATCTGGTTGTAGCAGGTTGAATCCTGGATTATACATGATTTATTTTGTTTTTCTAAACGTTTTTCAATGTAGTGGTTGGCTCATTATTAATGATATTTTGTCCCCTCCCCTTTGCTATTGTGACTTGCATGTTCTTGTCTTGAGTGAAGAAATCAATGTGCCCCACGAGCATGACTTTATCATGGTGAGTCATATAGTTGTTTGATATGGTGATTGCGGTGGACCCATGAATGGAATCAACCAGACCATCATTACATTTTTGACAAGGAGTTATGATCCACCCTAACATGGCTACCGTCGAAGATTGATACATCGTTGTTATCCGATATGGTTCACCAAGCATAATGCTTTGGGAAGTCCCTCACCATTGCATTTCCTCATTGTTTGCAATCATGAATGTTTAGGCTCGGGTTATATTGGGCCTGCAACAAAAGTGTAATAATAATATTAATGATATAATAATAATAATAATATATAATTAATATTTATAATATATTTTTTAATCCCGGTCAAAAACGGGTGTCTACACGCTTATTGCTTACTTTGATTATAAGAAACATGATGATCCCGGGTTTTTTGTGACATACTCGGTAGACGAATCAGGGGCATTGCATAATCTTATTTGGCCGGATTCTACATCGAGATCAGATTATATATGCTTCGGTGATGTAATTGTGTTCGACACAACGTACAAAGATAATTTGTATGGTCGACCAATTATGCCTATTGACGGTGTCAATCATCACCAATTAAAGTATCGACACTTTCAACATATCTGGTAGCGCTTTACTGGTTTTGTCATTTCGAGACTTGTTTTGTCATATTTTTACCTGTTATATTGTTATGGATCGATACATTTTCATAAAGTATCGACACTTTTTAGGCGCTATAACTTCTTCTCTTTTAAATTACGAAAGTTTCGATACTTATATTAAAGTATCGACACTTTCAACATATCCGGTAGCGCTTTACCGGTTTTGTCATTTCGAGACCTGTTTTGTCATATTTTTACATGTTATATTGTTATGGATCGATACATTTTCATAAAGTATCGACACTTTTTAGGCGCTATAACTTCTTCTCTTTTAAATTATGAAAGTTTCGATACTTATATTAAATTATCGACACTTTCAACATATTCGGTAGCGTTTTATCGGTTTTGTCATTTCGAGACCTGTTTTGTCATATTCTTACCTGTTATATTGCTATGAATCGATACATTTATATAAAGTATCGACACAAACCGAGAAGCTAAGTTTGCCGGTTGCCAATTTTTTTAATATTTCTTCATGATTTCCACCTACAAAATTGTTATTACTCGATATTTCCGATAGCGCTAAACCGAATTTGTTAAATATATTATAATATATCTGATAACACCGTATATTAGCCGTATATTAGTCCGTCTCTCCTGAGACAATCCCATATGGTTTGATTAATCTGCAAAAAGAAAAATGGGTACAGTCCGTGTTGAAAACAGGCTGGCTTTGATTTGTGTGAATGTGACAAAGTTTGACAACTACTAGTGAAGAGTAAGTAAAAGAGGAAAAGAGTAACTTTTATGTTTTAAGTATTTATTTATTTTGAGACACTCTTTAAATTAAAAATATATTTCACATATTAAAAAATGATATATATTTGCACGAACCAAACAAACTCAGTGATTGAAAGGATGATTATTGTATCTTTAGAGGACCCAGGTTCGAGCTCCGATGACTGTTACAAAGTATTTGAATGTTTATTATCAAATAATTGATATTATTTAAAATACATACTATCACTTGTAATTACTTAGATTAATAAAATACATACTACCGTACGTATGCAAAGATTCTTGACGAGGACTTGGGTAGAATATGCTTTTATTGATTAAGCAAACAAAACAATTTAAATGTTATCCCATAGCTTGTTTATTCAATAAAATTAGTTTCAGTTTCGATTATTTATATTCAAAATAAATTTATGATTTGAGTTGAGATTTTCCTAAAATTAATTTAGAACAATCAAAGTATATGTTAAAAACAAAATTTTAATGAAAACCATAAATTATTCGAATTGCATATTAAAGTATGTGAATTTAATTCTTGTAATAATTTTAATATTCAAATTACTCAAATGATACGTTGAGAAGGAAGATTTGCAGTACATGGTTTGAATAATTTGCAAAACAAAATATAAATTAAAATGATAAGTTGCTTACTACAGCAAATAGAAAACAATAGAGAAGGAAAACCATTGAATCGTAAAATATGGGTCCAGACACGAAATCTTGCATTTTAGGCCGTCCATTTTGTGCAGTGTATTGTGGTTGGTACCCCATATTTCTTATCCAAATTATTTAAAGGCACTGATGAATCCGCCCTTTTAGCCTTAAAATACCATATAACTCATGATCCACATAATCACATAACTCAGCTGTTTCTCTCTTCATGATTTGCATTATACCCACACCCAACCTTATGGCAAAAACTCCCTTCCTCCCTCTTATGTTTCTGCTGCTATTTTCTACCTTCAGAGCTACTTTGTCAGCCAACATAACCACCGATGAATCCGCCCTTTTAGCCTTAAAATCCCATATAACTCATGATCCACATAATCTCTTAGCAACCAACTGGTCCACTTCTATCTCTGTTTGCAATTGGATTGGTGTCAGTTGTGGATCCAGACACTACAGAGTCACTGCTCTGGATTTGTCAAGTATGGATCTCACGGGCACCATCCCATCTCAATTAGGAAATTTATCTTTCCTTGCCTCCCTCAACATTCGTAACAATAGTTTCCTTGGCTTCTTACCTACTGAGTTAGCCAATTTGCATCGGCTGAAGTATTTGAACTTTGGTAACCACAGCTTCAGTGGATAAATCCCGTCATGGTTTGGTTGTTTTGCTCAAATTCAACGCTTGTTGTTGTATGATAATAACTTCACCGGTATTATCCCATCCACTCTTGGCAATTTGTCAAAACTTGAAATGTTGGGCTTGTACAACAACAACCTCGAAGGACAAATCCCTATGTCTATTATGGGAAACCTTTCAAACTTGAAAGTGCTATACCTCGATGGAAATTATCTTTCAGGTCCATACTTTTCTCTAAGTGCCCTATCTCTTTTCTCCCTTTCTGCCACATATAACTTTATTTTCACTAGTAAAAAATTTATTTTATAACTAATGTTTTCATTGCAGGCCATCCTACTCTCACTTGAACAATTCCAATTTTTTTCTTCATTTTTTGTTATCTATTTTTTATATACAATTGGACCATCATCCAATTATCCAATATCAAATTAGGGCAGACTAAATGGTTGTCCCTTGTTCCCATATGTAATGGGTAGGGGAGGTAAGATAGTAGGCTGCCCCCAACACTAGGTTGAGAGCAGCTTCCGTAGGAGACCTCCAAATTATGAAATGCCCTCCATGGGACTCGATCTCACGACCTTTAAAAACCTTGTGCTCTACCAACTGAGCTGGATGGTCATTTCATTTAGGGCAGACTAAATGAATAAGTTATTCTAACCTACATATTGAAATAAGTTGTATCATTAGTCTTCTCTAAATCAATTAACTTACAAAATATTTGGAGATTTCATAAGCAGTAAAATAATTTAATAAAATTTTCATTATTTTAAAAGAAGGAAAATAAATGCAGAACATCAACCTATAGCGCTGAAAAAAAGGATCTAAATTAATTTCCAATGTACTTCTCTCGCATACATAAATTTTTATAATGGCGATTTCTTGGGTAAAATTGTATTTGGATTGAATAATTTCAAATATTTGCAACTTTCATAAGTTTAAGGGTTTGTTAGAAATTTAAAAAAATGGAGAGAACGAACGACTCTTGTGCTCAACATGGAAATTAAGGGTTTGTTAGAAAAACTATTAATAACTTATGATATACTTAATTTTATATTTAAGGTGAATTTCAATTATTTAATAGAAAACCAACTTATCTCGAGAACATTAATCTTTCTTCTAATAACTTAAAAGGCATAAAATCATATTTTTTTCAAATTTTATATCTTTATTAGCTTGAATATATTTTCATCAGTTAAAAAATGTTTTATAACTAACAATCTCACTGCAGGCTATTTACAGTCGGGAATATTTGATAACCTATCTAAATTGAAAGAATTAGGTTTGAATGGGAATCAAATTTCTGGTAACATTCCTAATAGTTTATTCAAGTGCAAAGAGTTGAGATATTTATTCTTGGACAACAACTTTATGGAAGGAAGTATACCCATGGAAATCTCAAATTTAACTTCACTTAAAGTTTTCGTCATCGAATACAACTTTTCAGGTAAGTTAAATGATTCATCTTGCTTTAATAATGTTCTTAAATATAAAAGAGTTCTTTATCATTGATTTTTTTTAATTATATTGTCCTAATTTATTTTAGCTTTTCAATTTATTTTATTAACATATTAATATTCTTGGCTCTCAAAGAAATAGTACAACTTTTAACTATTTGAGTAGTCCAAACTTCTGCAACGTATATAAAATGTCTTCAATTGATGAAAATGATAAAACGCATTCATGTCTTGCAATTGGATGTGGAGATCAATAAACCAATTGTACGTATTCCATAAGTCATAAGTATTTTGTCAAATTATTTTTGATTAATTTAGTTATATATTTCAGGTACAATTCCATCGGTTATCGGAAATATAACTTCTTTAAAGATCCTTAGTTTTTTGGATAACAACTTGACATGTATAATATAACTTTCATTCCCCTTTTTGTTGTTATTTTTTTTCTTGAACTTTTTGTTGTTATTTTGTTATATATTTATCAAAATCCTTTTTAATATCAACTTTTTTTTATTTCGTTGGAAAATTTTCTGTCCAAAATTTGGCAATTTGTGAATGTCATGCAATATAAGTGAATTTTTCAAAAATATATTTCCTGATGCAGTAGCAAAGATGGTATTTGTTATACATACCCAGCTGTTAGAGAGTGAACTGATTTTCCGTTGTCGTTTTGTTTAATGAAAAGAATATCTAAACTCCTTTTAAAACCAATTATATATTTTACTACAGTTTAGGCTCCATAAATGATGTTGGTTTCATCTAAGAAATGGCCTGATATTGTTAAGTAAATTAAGTTCCCTATTTTCTGCAAGTTTCAAACATCTAATTCTAACTCTATTCCATATTTTCTGCAAGGCCGTATTCCTTCCTCATTATGCAATTTAAGTTCCCTTCGTGAGCTCTCTTTATTCAAGAATAGTTTGGATGGAACAATTCCAGAGTGCATTGGAAACTTGAGCTCTCTTTCGGTGCTTGACCTAGGGATAAATAATTTTCATGGTAAAATACCTGAAAATTTTGTTGAAGATTGCACATTACTCTATTTTCGAATCAACAACAACCAAATAGAAGGGTCGTTACCACGATCTTTGGGTAATTGTAAAGACTTGAAGCTTCTCGATGTTGGAAACAACTATTTGAATGACACTTTCCCAAATTGGTTAGGAAATTCGGATCAGCTGCAAGTGCTTGACTTGAGATCAAATAGATTCTATGGTAAGGTGGATAGCTCTGATGTTACCTTCACTCGTTTGCGTGTCATTGATGTTTCTCGTAATAACTTCAGTGGCTATCTACCTATGAACTTTTTTGGAAATTTACATGCCATTAGAGAAGTGAATGAAAAGAAAGTTGGAACAGAGTACATGAAAGATATAGCAGCAGGTAACGTAGAGTATACTGTGCCAGGTTTATCTTTTACAACAAAAGGACTGGAAACAGAGTTTGAGAAACTATTAACCATATGGACAGCTGTTGACTTCTCCAGCAACCAATTCATGGGAGAAATTCCTAAAACAATTGGTGAGCTTCATTCACTAATCGTCCTAAACCTCTCTCATAACTGTTTAACAGGTTCTATCCCGTCATCATTGGGTGATTTATCGGAGCTTGAATCATTAGATCTCTCATCAAACAAGCTCCATGGAAGAATTCCCACAGAGTTTAAAAATCTTGGATTCTTGGCGGTGTTAAACCTTTCCCATAATAATCTAGAGGGACTCATTCCTCAAGGCAAACAGTTCGATACTTTCACTAATGATTCCTATATAGGAAACCTGGGCTTATGCGGGCTGCCATTATCAAAAAGTTGTGATAATGAATAGAAAACTCCAGTCAGATTTGATAGAGATGACGATGATGATGGATTGAACTGGAAATTTTCAATATTAATGGGGTATGGATGTGGGTTGGTGCTGGGATTGAGCATGGGATATATTGTATTCACAACTGGAAGACCATGGTGGTTCATTAGGACCTACGAGAGAGTTCAACAAAGATTTGCAAAAAAGGTAAAAAAGAGAACTCTTTGAGGGATTTTTGTTGTAGGGCAAACAATGGAGAGAGCAAAAAACTTCATTGAATGGTGGTAGACAGGCCTTTATCAATAGTTGTTTCTATTTATTGTTTGTCTTCAATAATTTCCAAATAATTTTCTGTTGCCTCTTTTCTATTTTCATTGCATTTTGGACTTTCCTTTTATATTCTACTTGGATGAATCCCTGCATTATGTGGAGTTTTAAGAAATTTTAGATTAAAAATTGTTTTATTTATTTTTAAATTGTTATGATAGTAAGATAATATAATTATATTTTTATTAATCATAAAAATTATTTATAATCTAACTTGAATTTTAAATTGATTCATTCATTAGTTAAATATTGAAATAATTTTATTATTGTTAATGATTCATTCGACCTAAATACTCATTTTAACCCTATAGTAGAATTAAACTTTGGCCATAGATACAGAAATCCCAACTCATTTATCTACTTCTAAGCTATAATTTTTTAGGGTTAACTACTTCAAATACCATTGACCTTTAAGAGCGGGCTCAAAAATGTCATTGACGTTTCAATTTTGTCAATTTTAGCACTGACGTTTATGTTTAACTCCAATTATGACACCCTACTGTTAATCCATTAATGTCATGATGACATGGCATCTTTGTGCCGTGACGGTGATGACATGACTCCCTCATCAAAACGATGGCGTTTCAGTGCAACTGTTTTGATGCTTCAAAAATCCAAAACGACGTCATTTTATTAGAGGTATTTGATTAAAATTTGTTTTTCATGAGATTTGAACGAAGGATCTCCATAACCTAATGCAAAGCACCCAACCACCAAGCTAACATTAAAACTTGTTCTATTTTTAACAAAACTAATATATATGTTAAATAGCATTTGTATACTTTCATCTTCCTCATCAATCCATATCCATAGACGTTTCAATAATGCTAATCAACTGCTCGACAAAATGTCAAGCTCAAGATTTTCAACAGCCAATCTCCAGCTTTCCAAGATTTTTATATCACTTTTCGCAAGTTTTCAAGTGCATGCAACCATGAAAAAAATCATAGTTGAGGATGATTGATCTAATATATTTTAGTTTTATATTTTACAAAGCTAATAAACTAAATTAATTTAAACATTTAATATTATGATGATTGATTCGTAATATATTTTATATTTATTTTATTTATTTATTTTTATATTTTTCAAAACTAAACCTTTCATTTCAAATATTAAAAAGAATAACAACATATCACCATTTAAAAAGCAATATATACTTGTTTTCATTTGAATATGACTTGCTTTCCACGGCAATGACTTGATAAGTGAGTGTTTTTTCCACGGTATGCGTAGACAAAGTCAAACCATCATCGCTTTCGTGGACTTGGGTAGAATTTGCTTTTATTGATTTGCTTAGTTGACGTGGAGTTGGGTAGAATAATAAAATTATATATTAAATTTAAAATTTCAACTAAAATCATAAACTATTCAAATTGCATATTAAAGTATTTAAATTCAGTTCTCGTAATACTTTTAATCTTCAAATTACTCAAATGATACGTTAAGAAGCAAGACTTGAAGTACATGGGTGATGAAACAGACAAAAAGTAGTAGAAGGAATTTAAATATTCAATATACATCATAATAATATTTATAATTAATTTAATGATTTTCCATGAAAGTTGTCTATCTTTTGTTCTTTATTATGATGAAACAGACAGGGGTGGAAGGACAGCAGATGCTAATGGCAGGGTGATGATTTGTTCACAGTTCTGTTTTTGGCTTGATATTCTGTTTAAGAATGGTGTTTCGATTTCTAATATACTTTAGTTTTATATTTTACAAAGCTAATAAACTAAATTAATCTAAACATTTAAATTATGATGATTTATATATAATACATTTTATGTTCAAAGTATTTATTTATTTGGAGATACTCTTCAAACTAAAACTATCATTTCAAATGTGAAAAATCAATATATATTTGTATGAACCATACTACCTCAGTAATTGAAGGGATGATTATTATATCTTTAGAGATTCCGGGTTCAAGCACCAATGATTGCCACAGAATATTTAAACATTTATAATCAAATAATTGTGAGTGTTTAAAATATATACTACCGTATATATTTGTTTCCATCCGAAATCGTCTTACCTTCCACGGCGTGTTTTTTTCCTACCGTATGCAAAGACTCTTGACAAGGACTTAGGTAGAATATGCTTTCGTTGATTAAGCAAACAAAACAATTTAAATGAATCCCATAGCTTGTTTATTCAGTAAAATTAGTTCCAGTTTCGATTATTTATAATCAAAATCAATTTATGATTTGAGTTGAGATTTTCTTAAAATTAATTTAGAATAATCAAAGTATATATATATGTTAGTAATTGAATCCCTTTTAATAAGGATCTCGTTCTGATATTCGACCAATTTACAGTAGTTTATTGTTTCCTTTCTGATAACTACCAAACGCCTAAAAAAATAGTTAGATCCTCTAGTGTGCTCCCTATGCACATGATATTTTTTTATGATTTTAAGAAGTATGATTGTTATATGAAATAAAACACGATTTCTGATCTCTGTTCCATGATACAAAATATATATGCTATGGATTTATGATATTACTGATTTATGTTAACTTGATATTTCTGATTAGCCTGAGGGCCACCAAAATCTCATAAACGGGTTGCATGTGATATCATGTATTTGTACACTTCGTGATCTCTACGTCTATAATAAATTATTGTTCTTCTCGCTTGTAAAAGTAGACAAAGTCAAACCACGCTAAATTACATCGCTTACATATGTCTTAGTTTACGTTGATATCATTTTTTGCAAGTTTTTTTTTGGATAAGCAGATTTTTATTATCCAAGGAAAATTACATCAGGAACATCCCAAATGAGGTATAAAGCCTACTTACAACAAAATATTCAATCAATACCCCAATAATTACATAAGTTTACATTGACATAGTGAGTTCTATTGAAATTTCTATCACTAAGTTTGATACGAACAAGATCCTTAATGGTCTTGAGGACTTGATCAGGTGTTCTTGATTCACGTCTGAAAATTCGTCTATTCCTTTCATCCCGGATCGGGTAAATGTAAGCTGTCCAAGAAAGTTTCTGAATGATGTTGAGAAGAGATTTACCTTTCCAATTATGAGAAGCCCAACAAATCCTTGAATCCCAAGTGTTGTGCGTGATGTGAATATTATTGAGACGCATGATAGAGTTCCATAGTGAAGTAGCAAAAGGGCATTCAACGAACAAGTGATTACGCGTTTCTGTCGAGTCGAGACAAAGGATACAAGAGTCATCAGAAGCAATACCTATTCTAGAGAGTCTGTCCCTAGTAGGAAGACGATCCAAAATAGCCATCCATGTAATAATACTCAATTTTGGAATGTGAAGGGGGAACCATATAACTTTGTGCCATGGAACCTTTGCTTTGTGTTCTCTTATTTCCTCCCATAAGTCTCTGGTCTTTGAAATACCATTGCTAAGGATAGGAAGGACTTCGCTTCTAAGTTTAATAAGTTTCCTGAAACACCAGCTATAAGAAGAGCTATCATTGACATCAGTGAAGTTAAAACTTTTAAGCACATAGCAATGAATCCATGCAACCCATAGTGAACCTGCTCCTGCAAGAATTTTTCGAATGAGATTAACCATGCAGGTTTTATTCCAAGTTTTTAGGTCTTTTAAGCCTAGACCACCTTCGGATTTGGGGCAGCATAATTTATCCCAACCAATTCTGGCTCCAGTAGCTGATGTATCAGAACCTTTCCAAAGGAATCTGGAGCAGAGTTGGTCCAGTCGTTTAAGAACTTTCTGAGGCAATAAAAATTGTCTAGTCCAATAGTTAATCACACTGTGAAGGACATTTTTAATCAGCTCAAGTCTACCTGCATAACTGAGAAGTTTCCCAGACCATTGATGAAGCCTATTTTTGATATTATCAAGAAGAGGCAAACAGTCTTTTTCGGTTAACTTTCTAGTAACAAGAGGAACCCCAAGGTATCTAATGGGTAGGTAACCATGATTGAAGCCTGTAACAGATTTAATGTTATCCAGGTTTCTAGAGGTAATTCCGGCTGTGAACAACTCTGTCTTACAAATGTTAAGCTTTAAACCAGACAGATCATAGAAGTGATTTAGGACAGTCTTAACACCAACAATTGAATCAAGGTTTCCTTTGCAAAAAATTAAAAGATCATCAGCAAAAGATAAGTGAGTAATGCCAATTTTTTTGCATTTCGGGTGATAGCCGAATATTCCTCTGCTTGCAGCAATGTTAAGTAAATTTGAGAGTATATTCATTGCAAGAACAAATAAAATCGGTGATAAGGGATCACCTTGTCTTATACCTCTTTGACCCTTAAAATAATCTATCAAGCTCCCATTGAAGGAGATAGAATATCTAGCTCCTGTGAAACAAGCTTCGATCCACGTTATAAACGTGAGAGGCAACCCAATAGTATTAAGAACAGAAGAAAGAAAATTCCAGTGGAGGGAATCAAAGGCTTTATGAAGGTCAATTTTAAGGGCACATCTAGGGGAAATGTTTTTTCTACCATAACCTTTCACTAATTCTTGAGCAAGAAGAGTATTATCGAGTATCGATCTACCTTTCACAAAAGCTGATTGATTTAGAGATATAAGATCAGGTAATAGTAGATTCAATCTTTTGACAAGGATTTTAGTGATGGTTTTGTATATCACAGAGCAACAGGAGATAGGTCTATAGTCCTTGACTTTACTGGGGTTAGGAATTTTTGGAATCAAAGCTATTATTGTGGAGTTG